TAACATTGTCTTATTTATGTACTTCACACTTTACAGTGCTTTTACAAATTCTCAGGATTGATCAGCTAAATGGTAGCTGGCAAGAGAAGTAAAATCAAAAAATCTGTCTGTCTATTTTGTTATCTTTAATTTGTTATATTACTTCGCGTGTAATGTTTTTGATAAAAGAAATGAAGACAACATGTAGTACTCAATACTTATATTCCTTTATTGAATCATTAATTTTTAGCAAAAATACTTTATTAGAAATTCTGATTTTTTTTCTGTACAAAAGACATAATTTTTACTGAAAGCTTGCCAGATTTCGTGAAGATACATAAATATTATCGGACGATGTATCGATACGGCTTCATAATACGATACTCGCATCGTATCGATGTATCGCCACACTTTTATTGATGACCCACTCATGGACTAAGAGAAATAGGAAATATGTCTTTGTGATGGAACATGTTGTGAATACATATAGTTGATATGTCGACGATTTCGAGTTAAAAGTTATTAATTAGTTTTCAACTTGAATGTTTACAATAATGCTTTGTCCTCCTAAAAATGGAAGGATGAGAGTTCCCCGGTATGTGCAATCTTGTTGGCTAGAGACTTATTTGTTATATTTTCTGGGAAATGTTTAAGGAAGTCAGTCTTATTCCGAATGTCCTGTAGAAATGTCATTTCTGTGTGTAAGGTAAAGTAGTTCGAGCAGATATTGTGAGCTCAATTTAAGAGATTTAGTACTACATATCATTTAGGCATTTGGAGATTCTTGCATTGCACGTTATTCTGGACATAAAAAAAGTGTTAACCAATTCTTAACAAGTAAACTAAATGATTCTAACTTATACTAGAACATTCACCGATGCTACAAGCAACCAGATGGCTAATTTAATTTTAAAAAGACCTGCAAATAAGTAAAAACTATGAACAAATATTAATTGTTACGTTTTTAGAATATCTCATTCATAGAAACTACGACATATGCCGAGTATTCTATTGTTACGACAGCGGAAGTCGCGTGACTCTGGGAGCATGCGCGCTGGAGTTTCTCGAATTATTGGGGAACCGCAAATGTTCGAGTATTTGCTAGGCGCCCTCTTTTTTAGTATATAAGCCTGGCAAAGAAAGCCAGCGATATAGATAGATAGATATAGAGATAGATAATTAAAGAAGCGAACAGTAGTGACGGCAAGTAAAGAGTGTGAATCACTGTGATTTATAGCGTGTGTTATAAAAGTTGTTGAGTTTAAAGTGACGAGAAACGTATTGACTGTGGAATTATTGTGTGCTAA